ATCAGGCACGAATAACAGGAAGGGCACTGCAATGGACCAGAAAATACCTCACAGGGAGGCAACAACGAGTCATGGTACGTGTTGAGGTATCACAGTGGGCGCCTGTGACGAGCGGGGTGCCGTAGGGGTTAGTCCTTGGACCACTGCTGTTTTTGGTATATGTGAATGACGTGACGGAAGGGATAGACTCAGAAGCGTCCCTGATCGCAGATGATGTGATGTTAATGAGAAGAATTAAATCGGATGAGGATCAGGCAGGACTTCAAAGAGACCTGGACAGGCTACAAGCCTGGTCCAGAAACTGTCTCTTCGAATTTAATCCCGCCAAATGCAAAGTCATGAAGATCGGGGAAGGGCAAAGAAGACCGCAGACAGAGTATAGGCTAGGTGGCCAAAAACTGCAAACCTCACTCAGTGAGAAAGATCTTGGGGTGAGTATAATACTGAGCACATCTCTGGAAGCACACATCAACCAGATAACTGCTGCAGCATATGGGCGCCTGGCAAACCTGAGAACAGAGTTCCGACACCTTAATAAGGAATCGTTCAAGACTCTGTACACCGTGTACGTCAGGCCCATACTGAAGTATGCAGCACCAGTTTGAAACCCACACCTGGTCAAGCACGTCAAGAAATTAGAGAAAGTACAGACAAAGGTTTGCAACAAGGCTAGTCCCAGAGCTACGGGGATTGTCCTATGAAGAAAGGTTGAGGGAAATCGGCCTGACGACACTGGAGGACAGGAAGGTTAGGAGAGACATGGTAACGACTTGCAAAATACTACTAGAAATAGATAGAGTGGACAGAGACAGGATGTTTCAGGGAGGGGACACAGAAACAAGAGGTCACAATTGGAAGCTGAAGACTCAGATGAGTCAAAGGAATGTTAGGAAGCATTTCTTCAGTCATAGAGTTGTCAGGAAGTGGAATAGTCTGGCAAATGATGTAGCGGAGGCAGGAACCATACATAGTTTTAAGATGAGGTATGATAAAGCTCATGGAGCAGGGAGAGAGAGGACCTAGTAGAGACCAGGGAAGAGACGGGTCCAGGAGCTGAGTATCGACCTTTGCAACCACAATTAGGTGAGTACAATTAGGCGAGTAGGTGATGCTTTATTTACACATCGGCTGTTTCCCACCAAGGCAGGTGACCAGAAAAAAAGAAAAACTTTCATCATCATCATTCACACCATCACTGTCTTGCCAGAGGCGCACCAACACTACATTTAGTTTAAAAATCTGCAACATATCAATACCCCTCCTTCAGAGGGCAGGCATTTTACTTCCCACCTCCAGGACTCAACTCCGGCTAACCAGTTTCCCTGAATCCCTTCATAAATGTTACTTTGCTCACACTCCAACAGTACATCAAGTCATAAAAGCCATTTGTCTCCACTCCTATCTAAAACGCTCACGCATGCTTGCTGGAAGTCCAAGCCCCTCGCACTCAAAACCTCTTTGACCCCTTCCCTCCAACCTTTCCTAGGCCGACCCCTGCCCTGCCTTCCTTCCACTACAGATTTATATGCCCTCCAAGTCATTTTATTTTGTTCAATTCTCTCTAAATGCTCAAACCACTTCAACAATCCTTCCTCAGGTTTCTGGATAATACTTTTAGGAACCCCACATCTCCTAATCTTCAAACCATAGATTTTCTTCATTATATTTACACCACACATTGCCGTCAAACACGACATCACTGTCTCCAGCCGTCTCTTTGTTGCAACAATCACCACCTATACATCCCACCCATATAAAAGCATTGGTACCACTATATTCTCTTACATTCCCCTCTTTTCTTTCATGGATAGTGTCCTTTGTCTCTACAGACTCCGCATACATAAAGGGGATTACCAATAGACCCCTGGCAGTCTTCAAGCAGGCACTGGACAAGCACCTCAAGTCGGTACCTGACCAGCCGGGCTGTGGCTCGTACGTTGGATTGCGTGCAGCCAGCAGTAACAGCCTGGTTGATCAGGCTCTGATCCACCATGAGGCCTGGTCACAGACCGGGCCGCGGGGGCGTTGACCCCTGGAACTCTCTCTAAACTCTCCAGGTAACTCCTCAATGCTCCATTCACCTTTTTTCCCCTCATCAATTCTATGATTCACCTCGCCTTTTAAAGACCCATCTGCTGACAAGTGCACTTCCAATTATCTGAATACATTTACTTCCTCCATACTCTCTTCCTCCAATCAGATATCTAATCTTTCATTACCTATTTTTTTTTTGTTATCCTCATTACCTTGCTCTTTCCTACATTCACTTTCAATTTCCATCTTTTACATACCCTTCCAAACTCGTTCACTTATCTCTGTAACTTCTCTTCAGAGTCTCCCGAAGATACAGTGTCATCAGTAAAAAGCATCTGTGACACCTCCCACTTTGTGTTAGATTCTTTATCTCTTAATCTCACACCTTTTTCCACCTCCAGGACTCAAGTCCGGCTGACCAGTTTCCCAGAATCCCTTCATAAATGTTACTTTGCTCACACTCCAACAGTACATCAAGTCATGAAAGCCATTCGTCTCCACTCCTATCTAACATGCTCAAGCATGCTTACTGGATTTTCATCTTTTACATACCCTTCCAAGCTCGTTCACCAATCTCTGTAACTTCTCTTCAGAATCTCCCAAAAGTACAGTACCATCAGCAAAAAGCAACTGCGACAACTCTCACTTTGTGTTAGATTCTTTATCTCCTAATCCCACATCTATTGCCAACACCCAAGCATTCACTTCTATTACGACCCTATCTATAAATATATTGAACAACTATCGTGACATCACGCATCCTTACCTAAGGCCTCCTTTTACTGGGAAATAATCTCCCTCTCTCCTCACCCTAATCTTGCCACCCTCAACACCATTGTGAATGAGGAGCTGATTAAAATATCGACTTGGATGACAGCCAATAAACTTACGCTTAACACTGACAAAACCTACTATATTATGTTTGGTAGCAGAGCAGGAGATGCACAAATTAACATTAAGATTGACAACACTCTAATTACCAGAAATAATGGGGGAAAATTCCTAGGCTTATACCTTGACAACAACCTGAATTTCAGCACCCATATCCAGCATATAACCAAAAAAGTATCCAAAACGGTTGGGATCCTCTCCAAGATACGATACTACGTGCCGCAAAATGCCCTTCTCACACTATACCACTCACTTATTTATCCATACCTCACCTATGCTATTTGTGCTTGGGGATCAACTGCAGCAACACACCTAAAGCCAATAATAACCCAACAAAAAGCTGCAGTAAGAATAATCACTAAATCCCATCCCTGGCAACACCCCCCCCCCACTCTTCATAGACCTAAACTTACTCCCAGTTCAGTACATCCACACTTACTACTGTGCAATCTACATCTACAGGGCCTTAAACTCTAATATCAACCTTGACCTAAAACGCTTCTTGATAGTTGTGACAGAACTCACAGGCATAACACCAGACACAAACATCTCTACGACATTCCCCGTGTCCGACTAAACCTTTACAAAAATTCAATGTATGTCAAAGGCCCTAAAATCTGGAATACCCTACCTGAGAACTCTAGAACTGCAGACACATTCATCACCTTCAAAACTACCATTAGAAAACATCTTATCTCCCTGATACACCCCGTCAACTAACTACACGAATACCACCTGGTGGTTCACACTTTCACTCACTCATTTGACCATAAACAGAAATATTAATCTCAATCTTAAAATAATGAATCCTGTGATACTCCAATACTGAAACTATGTACTGTGCCAAAACAAAAGCATTCACATTGCTAAACTTACAAACTAGTATTTAGTCACTTAGCCATAATACCAACTTACCTCATAATTTGTAATATTTTACAATTAAGAATAAAACTAAGTATGCCCGAAATGCCTAGCCATGCTAAGCGTTCTAGTGGTACACTCTGTAATCACAATTTTACTACATGTAAACCACACAATAACCAAATTTCTGTAAACTCAGCATTGTAATCCTTATAGAGAATAAACTTTGAATTTGAATTTGAATACATACTCTAACCTGATCCTCACTATCCTCGTAAACACTTTAAACTGCTTTCAATAACCTACCGCTTATTCCATACATTTGCAGCATATGCCACATTGCTCCCCCTATCCACCATATCATATACCTTTTCCAAATCCATAAATGACACAAAAACCTCTTTACCCTTATCTAAATACTGTTCACCTATATGTTTCACTGTAAACACCTGGTCTACACACCCCTTACCCTGCAATCCTGTTCTTCATCTTATTCTTAATTCTTTCAGTAAAATCTCGACCATACACTTTACCAAGTATACTCAACAGACTTATTCCCCTATAATTTTTACACTCTCTTTTGTCCCCTTTGCTTTTATAGAAAAGAACTGTGCATACTCTCTCCCAGTCCTCACTCATACATTTATTAAATAGTCGCATTAACCATTTCAGAATTATACCCTCACCTGCTTTTAACATTTCTGCTTTGATTCCATCAATCCCAGCTGCTAAACACTCTTTCATTCTACCCACAGCCTCACACACCTCTCCCACACAAACAACTAGCTGTTCCTCACTCCTAGATGTTATACCTTCCTGCCCAGTGCACGAAATCACAGCTTTCCTATCTTCGTCAGCATTTAATAGTTCCTCAATATAATCCCCCATCTTCCCGATACTTCCAACTCTCCATTTAATAACTCTCCTCTCCTATTTTTAACTGTCAAATCCATTCGTTCCCTAGGCTTTCTTAACTTATTAATCTCACTTCAGAACTTCTTTTTTTATTCTCAGCAAAATTTGTTGATACCATCTCATGCACTCTCTCATCTGTACTCCATTTACATTTCTTGATCACTCTCTTAACCTCTCTCTCTTTTTCTCTCCATATACTCCTTCCTCCTTGGATCACCTCTGTGTAAATACCTATCATATGCTAGTTTTTTCTCTTATATATATATTTACGTATATATACTTTAAATGTATTACAATACCTCGATAAGTAACTTTTTCAGTGCGGTGGAACTTCACGAGAGGTAAACATATGACATCTGAAGTATCTTGTGTATCTTCTAAGTCAAACACCTGACTTGTCTGGAAGGAAGAATGTTGACTTTGTGTTAAGTTACGCACTTGATCCTGTTGTGTAATAGCAATTTAAGGTTGTGTTATTGATCTCTTTGAAAATGATATTCCCAATCTTATAACTTACATCACTGAACTTGTTGAAAATTATATTCAGAATCGAATTGTAAGTTTGTTTATGAACACTGCAAGTGAGTCACGAACCTCGAACCTTCCTGAGAGTTAGATTTTTGAACCTTGCTGAATGTTAAATTCTGAACGTACTTGAGATATTTTGAACCTTAGAGATAGATTCTGAACTTTTTTGAAAGTTAAAAATCTGAACCTTTTTGTAAGTTAAATTCCGAGGTTGACTTCAAACCTTTCTAAGACCCGGATTCTAAAACTAGGAAGTTAGATTTAGAGAATTTTTAATTTATGTTTCGAAACTGTATTTCGACAGTGAATGAGTTACTGTAATAATACTAATAATAATAGTAGTAGTAGTAGTAGTAGTAGTAGTAAGAGTAGTAGTAGTAGTAGTAGTAGTAGTAGTAGTAGTAGTAGTAGTAGTAGTAGTAGTAGTAGTAGTAGTAGTAGTAGTAGTAGTAGTGGTAGTAGTAGTAGTAAGATAAGAAACACATGATTGCCAATGTTATGAATGAAAAGTTGGATGTCCTGGCTCTAAGCAAAACAAAGTTGAAGGGGAATGGGGGGTAGGGGAGTTTCAGTGGGGAGAAATAAATGGGATTAAGTCAAGAGTATCTGAGAGAGTTAGAGCTAAGAAATGGGCAGCAATAATGTTGAAGGATCAATTATGGAAGGAGAAGAAGGAATATAAATGCATAAACCGAAGGATTATGTGGATTAAAATAAGGATCGAATGCAAAAAGTGGATTATAATAAGTGTGTGAGAAATTACCTGCATGAGATTTACCTGAATTGTTACACGAAAATAATTTTGGTGAGGTAAGTAGGACTTAGTGACAGTAGGTCACAGGACTGTCACTCCATCACTACTCTCACAAAAGAAACTTGACCCAACATTAAATTATCAGTTACAATATTAAACATTAATACCAATAATGGTAAATTTTAAAGTAGTGTGAACTGCATGAAAATTAAAGGAAACGATCCCCAGTAAGGATTAATGGGAACACTAATACACACAAACAGGGTAAGAATTTTCTAATTGACACCAGGAACATGTGTACCAAAAGTTAGATAATTAATTTTTTTTATTAACACTTACCATTTATATTGTAGTTGGGTCACCCCATAAAGCCTGCCTAGCAAATCGAATCTTACTGGCCAGCGAGAAACCTAAATGAAAGGACTAATGACAAACATTCTGGCTGTGGTACACGGCAACCCCTCATTTCCACTATCACCACCTAATTCACTATCACCACCTAATTCTCTATCCCTATTCTTCAACAGGGGACATTCCAGTACTTATTAATTGTAGTTTGAGGCCGATCCATTCAATTATGGCCTCGATGACACCGGATTACTAAACGATTTCACCACAACCAGCGCTCACACATTAATTCAATATGGTGTCCTCCCTTTTTCTGTATCACTCCGCGGCCGCTGCACACCTTCCTTCACACAAAATTTCTTGAGGAGTCAAATCAGCATCACATTTTAATACACAATTATTATATTATTCATATTTACACATGCTGAAATTAGGAAAATTATAAAAAAAAAATCCTCAAAGTGTTTATGCACCTGGAGAAGAGAGTAGTGTAGAGGAGAGAGAGATTTTTGGAAATATTAAGCGAGTGTCTGGGAAGTTTTGAGCTAAATGGGAGAAACGGTTATAAAGGGCGTGATAGGTAAGTTTGGGGTATCTTTGATTGAACTTTGTATAGAAAAGGGTTTGGTAATAAGTAATACATATTTTAAGAAAAAAAGGATAAGTATACAATATATTATACAGAGCGTAATGACAGTAGTTTGTTAGACGATGTATTTGTAGATAAAAGACTGATGCGTAACTTCAGGATGTTCATGTTTATAGAAGGGCAACAGATATATCAGATCACTTTTTAGTTGTAGCTATATAGTGAGAGTAAAAGCTAGATGAGGAAACAAGGAGAATGATATCAGTAAGTAAGAGGTATATAATGGGTCCAGGGACTGTACCTCAACATTACAGAGGTATATAATGGGTCCAGGGACTGCACCTCAACATTACAGAGGTACATAATAGGTCCAGGGACTGTACCTCAACATTACAGAGGTATATAATGGGTCCAGGGACTGTACCTCAACATAACAGAGGTACATAATAGGTCCAGAAACTGTACCTCAAGATTACAGAGGTACATAATGGGTGCAGGAACTGTACCTCAACATTATAGAGGTACATAATGGGTCCAGGGACTGTACCTCAACATTATAGAGCTACATAATAGATCCAGGGACTGTACCTCAACATTGCAGAGGTATATAATGGGTCCAGGGATTGTACCTCAACATTACAGGGCTACATAATAGGTCCAGGGATTGTACCTCAACATTACAGAGGTACATAATGGGTGCAGTAACTGTACCTCAACATTACAGAGGTACATAATGGGTCCAGGGACTGTACCTCAACATTACAGAGGTACATAATAGGTCCAGGAACTGTACCTCAACATAACATAGGTACATAATGGGTCCAAGGACTGTACCTCAACATTACAGAGGTGCATAATGGGTTCAGGAACTGTACCTCAACATTACAGAAGTACATAATAGGTTCAGGGACTGTACCTCAACATTACAGAGGTACATAATGGGTGCAGGAACTATACCTCAACATTACAGAGGTACATAATGGGTCCAGGGACTGTACCTAAACATTAAAGAGGTACATAATGGGTTCAGGAACTGTACCTCAACATTACAGAGGAATATAATGGGTCCAAGAACTGTACCTCAACATTACAGAGGTACATAATGGGTCAAGGAACTGTACCTCAACATTACAGAGGTACATAATGGGTCCAGGAACTGAACCTCAACATTACAGAGGTACATAATGGGTCCAGGAACTGAACCTCAACATTGCAGAGGTACATAATGGGTCCAGGAACTGTACCTCAACATTACAGAGATACATAATGGGTCCAGGAACTGTACCTCAACATCACAGAGGTATATAATAGGTCCAGGAACTGCACCTCAACATTACAGAGGTGTATAATGGGTCAAGGAACTGTACCTCAACATTACAGAGGTACATAATGGGTCCAGGAACTGTACCTCAACATTACAGAGGTACATAATGGGTCCAGGAACTGTACCTCAACATTACAGAGGTACATAATGGGTCCAGGAATTGTACCTCAGCATTACAGAGGCACATAATGGGTCCAGGAACTGTACCTCAACATTACAGTGGTACATAATGGGTCCAGGAACTGTACCTCAACATTACAGACGTACAAAATGGGTCCAGAAACTGTACCTCAACATTACAGAGGTACATAATGGGTCCAAGAACTGTACCTCAACATTACAGAGGTACATAATGGGTCCAGGAACTGTACCTCGACATTACGGAGGTACATAATGGGTCCAGGAACTGTACCTTAACATTACAGAGGTACATAATGGGTCCAGGAACTGTACCTCAACATTACAGAGATACATAATGGGTCCAGGAACTGTACCTCGACATTACAGAGGTACATAATGGGTCCAGGAACTGTAACTCAACATTACAGAGGTATATAATGGGTCCAGGAACTGTACCTCGACATTACGGAGGTACATAATGGGTCCAGGAACTGTACCTTAACATTACAGAGGTACATAATGGGTCCAGGAACTGTACCTCAACATTACAGAGGTACATAATGGGTCCAGGAACTGTACCTCAACGTTACAGAGGTACATAATGGGTCCAGGAACTATACCTCAATATTACAGAAGTACATAATGGGTCCAGGAACTGTACCTCAACATTACAGAGGAACATAATGGGTCCAGGAACTGTACCTCAACATTACAGAGGTATATAATGGGTCCAGGAACTGTACCTCAACATTACAGAGGTATGTAATGGGTCCAGGAACTAAACCTCCACATAACAGAGGTACATAATGGGTCCAGGAACTGTACTTCAACATTACAAAGGTACATAATGGGTCTAGGAACTGTACCTCAACATTACATAGGTACATAGTGAGTCCAGGAACTGTATCTCAACATTACAGAGGTACATGATGGGTCCAGGAACTGTACCTCAACATTACAGAGGTACATAATGGGTCCAGGAACTGTACCTAAACATTACAGAGGTATATAATGGGTCCAAGAACTGTACCTCAACATTACAGAGGTACATAATGGGTCCAGGAACTGCACCTCAACATTACAGAAGTACATAATGGGTCCAGGAACTGCACCTCAACATTACAGAGGTATATAATGGGTCCAGGAACTGTACCTCAACATTACAGAAGTACATAATGGGTCCAGGAACTGCACCTCAACATTACAGAAGTACATAATGGGTCCAGGAACTGTACCTCAACATTACAGAGGTATATAATGAGTCCAGGAACTGTACCTCAACATTACAGAGGTATATAATGGGTCCAGAAACTGTACCTCAACATTACAGAGGTACATAATGGGTCCTGGAACTGTACCTCAACATTACAGAGGTACATAATGGGTCCAGGAACTGTACCTCAACATTACAGAAGTACATAATGGGTCCAGGAACTGCACCTCAACATTACAGAAGTACATAATGGGTCCAGGAACTGTACCTCAACATTACAGAGGTATATAATGAGTCCAGGAACTGTACCTCAACATTACAGAGGTATATAATGGGTCCAGAAACTGTACCTCAACATTACAGAGGTACATAATGGGTCCTGGAACTGTACCTCAACATTACAGAGGTACATAATGGGTCCAGGAACTGTACCTCAACATTACAGAGGTACATAATGGGTCCAGGAACTGTACCTCAACATTACAGAGGTACATAATGGGTCCAGGAACTGTACCTCAACATTACAGAGGTACATAATGGGTCCAGGAACTGTACCTCAACATTACAG